AAAATAAATCTGGTGAAATGGTGCACATTAAGAAACAGTGAAAATATACGAAATAGGAAGGCAACGCTGATCATTTATTGTAGAGGTTACCAACATAATCACTTTCTTCATATGTAGCGTGTTCGACTTACTATTTGTTGTTTTTTCTTTTTTTCCCGTGACCTGTAGGGGCACCATTTGTACTGCGGCCACAGTAGAAGGGTGTTTCTTGAGCAAGATAGCCTGACGGTGTCCAGCCCTCTCCAGGCCAGTTTTAAATTCAGAGTTTTTCCTTCTCCTAGACCGGTTGCCACCCAAATTTATAGAATCCAATCTGTCCTGCTATTTACCCATAACAGGCGTGAGAAGAAGAAGATTCATACCTTTCCCAAGGCTATTAGTACATAAGTAAATGCAATGGATTCGGGTGGAATTCGAACTCGGCTCTCCGATTCCTCAATCCGTTATCAATTACTCCACCGTGCCTCCTCTTTCTTTTGTAGGATGTGGCTAATCATATTTTCCAGAACGTCTCACTTTTGTTACTTTAAATCATACTTGCTTATTTTTCGATCCCTTCTCTGTCATTGTGGCCCCTTTGTTCTTCCATATCATTGCTCAAACTTATCGAGTAGTGTAGTGATTATATCTACGATAATACACCAGGAGGATACAATGCCAAGTTTATGGAGAGTTAGTGTCAAGCGTTGTGAATTGTGGTGCAATGGGTATCGGCTCGGAATGAGATATCTAAGAGCCGAGTTCGAATTCAAGTCAGGTCAATTACATTCACTTATGCAGAAATACAGTTGGGAAAAGATATGGATTCTCCCCTCCCCTAGAAGGACAGACTGGATTATATAGCCTTGGTTGGATAACCAGTTTAACACAGAAAGAAATGGCAACCTATTGCTGGAAAATCTTCTGCCTAGTTAGTCATTACTCGAAAGAGATATGATCGCCCAAGTGTGTATAATGTATAGCATTAAACTGAGTGAATTGTAAGCCACGTGCGCTCAAACTGGGCAATGTCTTTTTAAGACGAAAGAGAAGAAACATGACAACCTGTAATATTTAAATATGTTTAATATTCATATAGAAAATAAGAAATAAAGAAAAAGAAGTGTCTGCGGACTTAGCTTAGGATAAAGATCGTCCGGGTATCTTGTCAACAGTTTATGAAGAGGCCTCATTTCAGTTTATGGCTAGCTTCTTCAGTTATTAGTAATATTTTAAAGTTGTTATGAGGTTTATGGTGAAGGTAACAGCCTTATTTCGTGCTGCCTGAGTAACCAGTTTGAAGAAAAAAAAGAGGATAACTTTTTTGAATTTGTCGCTTATATAGCCAGGGTCGCGTGACCCTAACAGGGACACTGATTGGTCATTTCTTTAGCCAATCAGCATCTTCATTTTATTCCGCGCTTGATTAATCTTATTTTACGCTGGATTATTCTAAATTCTAATTATTTCCTCTTTTTCTCGCCTTATATACGGCCTATGAGTAACAATTTCTCCAAAATTTCAAGATCAAGAATTCATCTACAATTCCTATTCACCTTAAATATTTCTCATGTGTCACATGCTCTCGCCATGATATTCTTAATATTCAATGACCTGACCAGATCTCAATAGCCTCAATTTTTTTGTCATGTATTCAGTGTCATATTTTTTTGTCTAGTACTCAGTGTCACGTACTCAGTGTCATATTTTGTCTAGTACTCAGTGTCACGTACTCAGTGTCATATTTTTTGTCTAGTACTCAGTGCCACGTACTCAGTGTCATATTAAAGAACAGATATTTTATTGCAGTTCATCAAGTGATTCTTTGTTTCTTATGTCATTTTTCGAATTCATTTATATAGATTAGATTTTTAATAAATTGAGCTTAGTATGGCACAAGGCCGTCATTTATTGGCAAGCAGCTTGAGTCGTATCATTCTTCCAAGTAAGGAAGACCTGCCAGAAAATCCTTGTTTTTTATTTGAAGTCGGTGTGTAAAGCCATTCCTGATTTCATCCCGCTCTCGGACATCGACTTCTCATAACAAAATGAGAACTTGCAACTGTGTTAGCCACAAGGCGAGCCTAAAATAGGTATTTACGTAAAAATCTTTCGACTCAAATAAAGACATTAACCGATAAGAATCGAGCTTCCCCTCTACCAGATGAGGATAATAGTGTTTAATGCTGGGGACATATAATATAAACTTCAAATGTTTGAGAACAGCAAGCCATAAACAAAACTTACATAAATCTTTATAAACATTTTTAGCATACAATTTTTATATAAATATTAACAAATACATATTTATTCATGTATATAGTTTTTTTTTCTGTTAATTCGAATTAGTTTTAGCAATCCCAAAGTACACGTTGTATGTATGAAATGCTTTCAAAATCTTCATTGCTGACATTTTGCGTGTATTTAATATGAAAAAGATGAATAAATACAAAGAGAATTTGCATTGCCTTAGCAAAAAATGACCGACAATAATAAGAAGATCTTGAAATGCAAATCTAAAGAATGTGACACATGAGGAAATCAATAATTCCAGTTGTAGTTGGAGCACTCGGCTTGAATGGAAAAAGTTTCAATAGACTCATTGAGGGCATCCATGGTAGCACATGCTTTAAAGAAATATAAAAAAAAATATACACAAGTACAGTTCACACATTACGAAGAACTTTATGTAAAATGTGTGTGATCTTGAGGGGGGGGGTACAAAAAGATCAATGGAAGATGTCATGAACGTGTAAAGCAAAAGGGAAACCAAAGGATATAATAATAATAATAATAATAATAATAATAATAATAATAATAATAATGGTAAGCTAAAAACAAAAAAAAATGTGGCACATGGAAACATCAACAATCCCTGTTGTAGTTGGAGCCCTAGGATTGGTTGGAAAAGATCCAGTAGACTAATTGAAGGGATTCCTGGAAGTCCATGCCTCAAAGAAATACAAAAAATTGTTCTCACAAGTACAGCCCACAATTTAAGAAAAAAAAAATTACATAAATAATTATGGAATTTTTTTTTTTTTGGTCAGTGGAAAATGTCATGATGCCATTTCTAACTTTAAGTCTCTGGGTGGGACCCGGACAGAAATGTGTACACACCAGAAATCAAAGGAAATAAAAACAACAACGACAACAATAATAATAGTAATAATAATAATGATAATAATAATAATTATGTTAATATGGGCACATCAACAATCCTTGTTGTAGTTGGAGTCCTAGGACTGGTTGGAAAAGATTGCAGTAGACTAATTGAAGGGATTCCTGTAAGTCCATGCCTCAAGGAGATACAAAAAATTGTTCTGACAAGTACAGCCCACACCTTACGAAGGGCTTTATCTATGTAATTTAATTCTTTTTTTTTTTTTTTTTTTTGTCAGTGGAAAGTGTCATGACGCCATTTCTAACCTTAGGTCTCTGGGCGGGACCCGGAAAGAAATGTGTAAACGCCAGAAATCAAAGAAAATAAAAATAATAATAATGATAATAATAATAAATTCTTAGATGCTCTACTTGGCATGGTTCTCATCGCTTCTATTCTTTGATTGGATGTCGTAACTTGTTTTGATTTGGTAAATTAATATTGGCTATAGTAAATAACCCGTTCAGTAAAAATAGGTTTGCTTGTCAGTTGCCTGATCTTAACGAATTGGGGCCAGTAACGCACTGTGATTCTCTGTTCATGACCTAAAGTAGTAAGAGCGCTTATCATGGCCGGGCGTCGAGAGGGGTTGATTTTATTAAATTCGAAAATGAGTTAGCCAAGGCAACTTGGAAGTTACAGCTAGATACTTGGTAACACCCTCAATAGAAGACCAACTGATTAGGACTGTGTTACCCGACATGAAGGTAATTCTGTGCTCCACTCTGTAAGGTTACGAGCTGCTTTTATCAAAAGCTGACACCATGTCGCTTGCACTTGGCTGTGATGCATGTTCCCGGTATTCCTTTATCATACCGACTGTTGTATAGGGTGTCATGGCGAGTGTAATGGATTTTGTATATTTGTAGCCTAGCACTGGGCTGCTTTCTCACTCAGTAAATTAAATAATAAATGATAAAATTTGACATTATTTACTTTTTATATTAATTTTGATGAGAAAAAGAAACCAGGCGACATATTTGCGCGAACTGCCCATTCATTGTCCAAGAACTGCATTTAGCTTTTTCATCACTGTTTGGTCTGAGTTATACTGATGACGATATTTCACAATTGCTTTGTAAGTTCAAAAACAAGAGACCGGTGTAAAATAGTGTGGCATCAATATTCATAGTCAGTCGGGTGTGTCTGCTTAGAAAGCTAGCATTTCATCGTCGAGGTAAACCTTCACAGCAAGAACACGCCATGCCACTTACATAATTGCAAACCACCCATGTTCCCCCCGTATTCCATCAGAGAGAAGTAAGGTCCACTCGAACAGCTTCTTCCTGCGAACCACTTCCCTGTGGAACCGACTCCCAAGAGGATGTTTCCCCAAACACTACATTTTAACGTGTTCACGCCAGGGTTAATCGTTTTCTTCCACTCCTATACACACAAATGGCCTCCAAACGTAACACTCTACCTCGAATGGCACCCGGGTTTTGTAAAGGGTGAATCTCGCTGTAAAAAAAAAAAAAAAAAAATATTGAAAAGACTGATATTTCCTATTGGGTTCGAACCCTGGACAGTGGCCCTGGCGAGAAGTAATCAACTAGCTGAGACAGAAGTCAAACTAAACATATTTTGAAGATCATTAATTTTGGTATATACTTTCTTTCATTATAATTCCCGTTACTTTTCAGTGCAAAGATTCAGACTATCAGCCTATGGCCATCGGCAAAGAGCATGGCTCGGAAGGCCGTAGATTGACAGTTACAGTAATTGCGATAAAAAGCAATGAAAATTAAGATGAAAGAAGATACTACATCAAAAATCAATAATGGTTGACAAGTTTTCATCTAATAAATATAATCATATTTATATAATCCCATCAGCGTGGTGTAACCGTAAGCATTACATTAAAATACCAGCTCCCGTACAATCACCGAAGTTAAGCAACGACGGACCTGGTTAGTAACTGGATGAGTAACCGCTTGAAAATATCCGGTGCTGTAAGCTTGCATGTGCTGGTGGTGTAATGGATAATGTCTAGGAATTGTTAATCGGAGAGCCGAGTTCCAATCTCAGTTGTATTCATTTACGCGTAAAGGTATGACTCATCCTCTTCTCTCTCTATCTACGGGTTAATTCAGATTTGTATTACAAAACGATTATTATCTCAAATTTACCGCCAAACCGATAAATCATGTATTGTTAAACTTAAGTTTAATCTGTCACAAGTTAATAAAAGTTGAGTTTCTATTAAATATCTTACTTTCTACTGTAAATGAATGATTGACAAAACTATTGTTCTACGAGAAAAGATTTTATGAAAGAAAGAAGTCTTCCGATTAGTTATCTATAAAGCATTTCTTTTTTATTCACGGAGTTTTACTAATCATAAACTTCAACTAATATTAGCGAATGTAAAGTTATTCTAGGTGATATGAGTTTCATTCACACTTTGTTGTACGAAGTTCTGGTTAGTTATGTAATGACAGTTATGTGTATTGTTCTAAACTTAATTCGCTTTATCATGTTTAGAAATGTCTTTTGTTTGTTTTTTAAATCACGTGCTTGTGATTGAATTCCAATATATTTGTTTTTTTTTCTTTTTTTATTTAGTCTAATTGTTTGAATTATATGTTATTTCGAAAAATTTCAGCTCGCCAAGTGCGATTGAAACCTTACTTATAGGCTCGCTAGACAGTTGTTCGAATCACTTTGCCGTAACAATAACTTTACTTGCGAGAGATCTCAAGTTAGTGTCTCCAAAGCATTGCTAATAAGTTCGATTATCACTAGGAGCTATAACATTTGTTAGTTCGGACAGACGAAACTAAACTAGCTAAATATCTAATGTCATACTGTAGATTCTGTGGGCATGTGGTTAGAACGTTTGCTTTCTGACAATGAGACTCACTTTGGTCAATTTGTCAGGAAGGCGACTTCTTAATGTCTGGAGGACGCGATCCCAGTGTACGGCATCTTTGAAAAGTGCATGAAAACCATACCACGGTACGTTGTGAGTGAAATTAGTTTGACGGATGGTTGTGCTAGCACGAAGTCACAAGTCATCGTGACTGAGAGTTTAAATGTGCTGGCCTTGTTCAAACTGTTGATCACACTAGATAACGCGTACTCTCCCAGAAACTGTAATTAAGTTCCGCTCAGCATTTTGAACAAACACAAATGTGCCTGAGTTGCCTGTCTACTAACCACCCTGGTAGACAGACAACCTCGGATACGAGTGATTGCGACATTTCGATTTAGACCGTAGATACACCGCCAACAGCCCAGAGGTGTCTCATAAGAATGCACAATAAGGGAAATTGTTAAGTCACGTAGTCAGCCGCAGATAAATGGTTAGCGAGTGAGTCTCCAATTCACTTTGAATTGCACTAATCACTGTTTGTAACCTTGTGACTGACTACTTTAGACGACTGAAGAGATAAATAAAGAAGAAGAAATTGGGCAAAAAAAAAAAATCATATTTTAAACTTTATATTTACATGGGCAACCAGCACAATTCTCTTCAGTAGCAGTAATTAAAACGTAAAGAAAAAAAAATAAAATGAAAGAAGCGTTAATGTAAACTTGGTGTGACTGCCAACATGGCATGTATTTTTTCACAAACTGGCAACTGTCAGTCAGTATCACCTGATTGCACAGGATTTCTCATGTAAACTTTGATCCCATGTAGACACCTACAAAAAACTCACAGCGACCACGATCAGTTGTCGCTAGATGTAAAAAATATATATATATATATATATATATATATATATATATATATATATATATATATATATTAAAGAAGAGAGGTGCCGCTAACGTTTTTGGTTGTAATGTGGATTTTTTTTTTAAATATTATGCTTTATTTTCCATGATGGAAAATAAAGCAAAATACCCCAAAAAAATAAAAAAATAAAATAAAAAATTTTTTAAAAAATCCACATTGCAACCAAAACGTTTGCGGCACCTCTCTTCTCTTCTTTTTAATATACACACTTTTCTCTCGTTGGAACCACTATAACCTCTTTATTTTATATATATATATATATATATTTTATGGGATGAAATGCTCGATATCAGAGATAGAGCGTGTGTAAAAATAAAAGTGAACATTGAAGTCAACACTTAGAGGCGACATATATATGGTTTTAAGGCATACTATATTTATGTGTAAAAGTGCTCAATATCAGAGATAGAGCGTATGCAAATATAAAAGTGAACACTGAGGTCAACACCAAGCAGCGGCAGTTTGTTTCATGCTTGAACACAATCTTCAGGCCATGTGTGTTGTGTTTTAGCTCGACTATTTATATATGCTGGTCAATGGTGCATTATGGGTAGAAGGTCTATTGTAGTGTTGTTCCTTTTTACTACTCCTACTACCGCTCTACTCTACTGACCTCGCTTGTGATGGAAGGGTCGTTTTTATAATGGTGAAGTTTCAGATTTTAGAATAATAAAATATCATCATCATTCATCACTGGTGGAAAGTTTGTTTTTAGAATGATGAAATATCCTTATCATTCTGGACATCTGTCTATATCTCTGAGATGAGGTATTATGATTACTTGCATTATTTACATATTTTGGCCTGGTACAGAGAAAGAGTTAACCGTTTGATGAGACCTTGACGGTCGAAATAGCGGTAGTGTTCCATTCAGCGTTTTATTATTTTATGATATTAAATCGCTCTACAGGTTTTAATTCAGAGAATGTCTAGTTGGATAGCAATTCTTCATTTATCCAAATTTGGTTGAAGGACAACGAGAGTTTTTTTGGTTTTTTTTTAAATTGTATTTTCTGTGGTTCGGACTACTTTTCTGTTTTCCTGAGAGAATTTGAACATAAGTTGTTCAATTTCTCCAGATCGTTTTCAGCTTTCATAACCAATTACTTTTAATTTTTGTGCTGACATATTTGTTTCTCCTTGAATGCTTTCTGCTCACTATCGCAGTTTTCGATTGTCGCGTCTTCATGCATCAATAGCCGTCATGATGTTTTTTTTTAAGTATCACGAAACAGGCCTATCAGCACAAAAATAAAACTTTTTATATATGGCTCATGAAGCGGAAAGCGCTCAAAAGACACTGGATAACACGTTCAAACTCTCAGCAAAAAAACCCAGCAGAATGATTAAATAAAATAATCATAAAAAAACATTCGTTGGTTTTCAGTCAAACGTGCATAAATGAATATATATATATATATATATATATATATATATATATATATTCTAGAAAGAAAATTCGGATTGCCAACACACAAACAGAATGTCTCATATCGAGAATATTCCACATTGAACATGAAGAAAAATTAATTATTTTTTAATAATATGCAAAAATCTCCACTTTCACCTGAAGACGTTTGCGAGACCAGACCAGAAACACGTGTCGTGAAATTATGTAAAACAAAGTATAATATTTTTTCTCAATAAATCCACATTACAACCAAAAAACGTTTGCGGCACCCCTCTTCTTTTAATATACATACTTTTTCTCGTTGGAACCACTACAACATATTTCTTTTATATATATATATATATATATATATATATATATATATATATATATATATCCGATGCGATGAGAACGAAAGTAATATATAAATTCAACGTTCACAGCATTAATCCAAAAGAGGGCTCTCGATTTCGATAGCTGGCCGATAATTATTTATTATAATTTTATCATATAGACAAAACCATTTTACTCACTACAAAGATGCAACTTCATTTCAGTGCATTTCAACTGCACTTCGACGGGTGATAGATTGTTTCACTCGGTCACCTTATTTTTTTATGTATATCTTTCTTCTCAAAGAAATGGAAAAAAGGAAGTGACGTTTCTCATACGGCTTGCCTACAAGCAGGATTGTTCATAACCATTTTCGACTCTCACCCGTCGAAGTGCAGTTGAAATACACTGAAACGAAGTTGCATCTTTGTAGTGAGTAAAATGGTTTTGTCTATATGAAAAATTATAATATATATATATATATATATATATATATATATATATATATATATATATATGAAGAAATATACTCTTAAGGTGTGCTATATTTATGGGATAAAGTGCTCAATATTAGAGATAGAACGTGTGTAAATACAAAAGTAAATATTGAAGTCAACACTTAGTCAGGCCACGATTGCGTCTAGCGTGAAACAGCCTGTCGCCTCTAAGTGTTGACCTCAATGTTCACTTTTATATATATATATATATATATATATATATATATATATATATATATATATATATTACTTCGTGTTTTGACATTTTATATTTAATGATTGAAAACTAGAATTCTTTTGCACACGAGACAATAGACTTCATTCTTTTGTACATGAGATAATAGACTTAATTGTATACATAAAAATCCTGAATTATTAATGCAGAAAATATGACCAATGCAATTACAAAATTACGTTATATGGCCATCGTTTGTATTTAGGGTGCAGATGAATAATTTCTATATGTATTTTTGTCTAAACATTTTTAATTTTATGCTTTGAATGTTTAATCAAACAAAAGAAAAATATAGTCACTTTCATATAAAAGTTTTTTTTATTTAATATTTTCGTTAAAAATATTGCCATCTGAGTTAGAGATTATTTAAATTTCAAATTATCGTCTGCTATCCATGATAACAATAATGAAAAATGTCTATCACACCCATTGAACAAATCTCTATATTTGTTCTTTAGTCTTTTACGTATCGAGATTCTTACGCGACAAGTTTTTTCTTTCTTTTTTTTTTTTTTGTTTTTTTTGTAGAGGAATGATATTTTTTAAAAGAAAATCTTTCCGGTCATTAATTGTCTGAAAAAAAAAAAAAAACGTTGCGTGTGAGGCTCCATCCGAGTTAGTATTTTTTGGTAACGAAGCGATATTTTTTTTTTGGCGGGGGGGATTAAACCTGTTTTGCAAGAAAAACTTCCAAAACAATTACATTCAAATGTACATTTTTAACCAGTGAGACTACATTAATAAAACATTTCAGTGAACA